TGTTTTCCCAGGCCACAAGCAGGGAGTTGGATGGGAAGTAAAGCAACAGAGACAGGAACTAGCATCCATATGAGATCCCAGTGCTTGTGAGGGAAGGATTAGCTAATTAACCCATTGTGCTGGGTCTGGATAAGACAAATTTGTGTTAGGTATAAAGGACTTAAATCCTGCAAAGTGCCTTTGCTTTTTCCCCAACTGCTGTTATTTGATTAAACTTCTTTTTTTTTAAATTTTTGATTCTTTTTTCTTCTCTTTTTATTATCATTTTATGATTTAGTTCCATAGGATCTGGGATTTCCCCACCCTCTCCTTTAGTCCCCTCCTCTCTCACTGGGTTCTCCCATATCGTTACAACAGCATAGTTTCTCACAGAGAGTCATAAGTCCATCATTGCGGGCATGGATAATGGCAGTCTCCATCATGCCATTGTCAAGACACATCCAACAGTTTCACTGGGAGTGCATCCTCAGTCTGGAAATAGAGATGCACATTGCACTGTGTCAGTCTTCATTACACAGTCATTATAAATTTCCTTAAGTGAAAGGCCACAAAACAAAACCAACAACAGGAAGAAAAACAGAAATTTACAATGCCATGAAGTTAAACAACATGCCACTGGATAGGATGGTCTCCATTACACAGTTACTATACATCCTCTCAAATAAAAAGCCACAAAATAAAATCAACAACAGGAAAAAAAATAGTTACAATGCCGTGAAGTTAAATAACATGCTACTTGAATGACTAATGTGTCGCTGAAGAAATGAAAAAGGAACTCAAGAACTTTCTTGAAGAAAACATGCTACTGTATGATCCGAGTCAAAAAAGACTTCAATGAGAAAAAAAGTGTTTTGAAGAAATGAAACTAAAACAAAAACATCAAAATTCGTAATATATAGTTTCCACTGATCTTCGTTGGTGAGATGTCTCCTGTAGGCAACAAATAGATGGGTTTTGTGTTTTTAATCCAGTCTACACTCTATGAAGTTTGGTTGATGAGGTTTAAACCATTTACATTCAGGGTTAATATGAATGATTGATAATTTGGCCCTGTCATTTTTGGAATGGGTTGTTCATTGATTTTATGTTCTGTTGTTATTTTACTGGGGAGTTCTTCACATTTGTCTTTGGTTTTGGTGGGTGCTATTTCTTTTCTGTGTCAGGAGAACTTCTTAAAGTACATTATTCTGGGCCAACAATTTTTTGCTTTTAAAAATCTGGAATATGTCACTCCATTCTCTTTTGGCCTGTAGAGTTTCCTGTGAAAGGTTCTCTGTGAATTTAATTGGCATTCCTCTGTATGTCAATTGATTTTTTTTTTCATGTGTGCATTTAAGTATTTTTTCCTTAGGTTCAATTGAAGAGAGCTTAATTATCATGTGCCATGGTGAAGATTGCTTTTGGTTAAGCCTATTGGGAGTTCTGTGCCCCTCCTGACTGTTTCCCAATTATTTCTCTAGATTAGGAAAGTTTTCCTTTATTATTTCATTGAATACATTTTAAAACTCAGCTTCTCTTTCTGCACTAACTGGGACTCCCATAACTCTTATATTTAGCTTTCTAATAGTGTCTCTTAATTCTTGAATACTTTTTTTAGCTTGACCCATCTCTGCTTCCAGCTTTTTGTTTGTTTTCCCCTGGTGACAGGAAATATCATCCAATTTTGAGATTCTTTCTTCTGCCTCTTTCATTCTATTTCGGAGACTCTCCACTGTACTTTCAATTTGCTCCACTGTATTTTTCATTTTGAATGTATCAGCTTTTATTTGACTCATTTCCTGTGTGACATATTCCTTAAATTCCTTAAGCTCTTACTTTATGAGCTTGTCGTTTTTGAGAAGTCTTTCACAGGTGGAGTGTGTGCAGACTTGGGGTGGATGGTTGTGGACCTGTGCTGTGGAGAGTCCTTTGTTTCAGAGATTTTTGAGGCCTAATCCTTTCCAAATATGGGGCTGTCTTTTAAGACTCAACTACATTCCCATCCTCCTTTACCATTTCAGAACTATCTTTGTCCTCCTGGTTATAATCATGGGCATTTCTTTCTAATAAACTTTTCCCCACTGCTTTCTTGTACTATGAGCTTGCATAAGTATAAAAACAAGCATTTCTCAGAGAACAAAGGAAATATTTTATTTGGAGGCCTGTGATGGTCGTAGTGGGAGGTACTGTTTGTTTTCACTGTGGTTCCTAGACTTTCACAAACAACTCCAGTCAGCTGTTTGTGTATGTGGCCTGGAATCCAGAGCTCCTGTTCTCTAAGTCATCAATGAAGTTCTTGATGTTTCCTTCAACATTGAACTTGCTTCCTAGCTCAGGCTGGTTTCCCATTTGGGTTAAGAAAGGTTTCCACATTACTGAAGGGCCTTTTGTCTTCTCTACCTTCCTACCATTCCTGGTCTAAGGTACTCCTTTCGTTGGTATGCTTGTACAGGTATCTCTTACTGATGAGCGGAGGATCTAAAACTAAAGGGGAATCAAAGATCTGAACAGGGCTTCTTAAAAAACTAAATTCCTGTGACTTTAGTGTTCATGAATCAAGCTCCCAAAGCCAGGTTACCCCTAGAGAACAACACCTGAAATGAGGACCAAGCCATGATGCACAGAGACCTCAGCTAGGTGTAGATGGGTGGTCCTTCCTGAGCAGTCACATGGGCTCTTGAACCTTGCTCCCCTTCGGTACAGTTTCATGTATATCAAACTCATGAAAGCACAGACCCATTGGAGCTCCTTTGGGACCCAAAGTTAAAGGGACCTGAGGATGGACATCAGTTCTGAGAACTCAGACGAGAAAAAAGAAATTTCTGTTTTCATTAACCTCTCACTGATAATTAGCACTTCTTTTCATTCAGAAAATAGGCCAGAGAATACAGCAGTATCCACACCTGCATCGTCATCCTCTGGAGTCACAGATTGCTTACACCTTGTTTTATGTGGAGCACTACCTTGAAATGATGGTAACAATGAACCTTGGCCCTAGGTTCTGTAGTCTTTTACTGTGTTAATGAAGAACAATTATTACATCACTAATTGAAGAGCTAAATAATTGGATAACTGCATTTCAATAAAATTGGTATTCTGTGCAGTTGTATTTTGTGCATTTCCCAGAATGTGAGATTGGAAGTTGTCCCTGCTTTGGATTATGAATGAAGAGCTTTACAGATAAATAGAGGTCAACAGATTTGAATACAAACTCAGGTTGTGCTCCAGCCTTATCGTTAGCTGGAGTAAGCAGTGGTTGGTGACCTTCGACTTGAAAGGACATGTGGGCCATTGCCTGTGAACAACCCCGCTCCCACATATCCAAGAGTACAGAATTCTCTTAAAATATGATAAGTTTTTCTTTTACATTCAAGTGAAATGCATTGAATGAAAATAGCATGGAGTTTTTCCCAGTATTAAACACTTCAGTGGCAGGATGGCAGGGATTTCAAATGATCCCACTGGAGCAGCAGATTAAATTCAGGCACCAGGGGCAGTATGGTGGTCTAGCAAGCTGACCCTTTTCCTGTGGCTCCAGCAATCCATATGGACTATGGTACATGTCCAGGCTGTTCCACTTCCTGTCTAGCTTCCTGCTAATGGCCTGGGAAGGCCCAAATCCTTGGGCCCCTGCATCCATGTGGAGACTGGAAAGAACTCAAGCTCCCAGCTTCAGACAGGCCAAGCTCTGGCTGTGGTAGTCATTTGGGGAGTGAACCAGTGGATGGAAGATCTCTCTGTCTCTCCCTCTCTCTGTAATTCTGATTTTCAAATAAAATAAATACATCATTTTTAAAAATCCAAGCGCTGAGGTACCTGGGGGAATCATTTGATAGTGAGGCATTCCATGGGGGTGTGTTTTGTTCTGAATAGGGATGGTGCTCTGGGATCTGCAAAGAGGAGGTAGTTGGGATAAAGATGGGCATGGAAGCAGGGTGGAGATGACAAGCAGGGAGCGCTCAGAGCCACACTCTAGCATAATTCCTCTACTTCACACTTGATTGACATACTCTCCACCACCATCAATCTGTAGGGAGTTTATTAATTTTTTCAGATCAGTTTAGCCTTTTCACAAGTAACATACTTCTCTGAAATATTTTAATAGATTCAGCAAATTTCATGAGACTTAAAAATTGTATTTTTTTTTAAATGAAGGTTCTGCTATTCCTAGGCACAAAGAATCCCTAGAGCTACAGAACAGCTTTCTTTGAGTCTCTAAAGGCTCGTTGTATAAGGGAAGAGGGTAGAAGTTCGCTGCCATCAGCATAGCAAGCAAAACTACAGTGATACAACATTACTGGAAGACACAATTTCAACTCAACTTAAGGTTCCTTCTGGGAACTGATCATCTTGGACTAAACATTTAAATTGCTTCCTAACTCTGGGATTTTTATACCTCCCTGTTAGCTAGATATTCTGCAACTGATCTACCCCAGGCATGGATTTATTACCAAGCAAAAGGCAGCCTGTGATCTCTTTAGGGAACTGAGTGTTATAAGGAGGCAAAATAAATCTGTTTTATTGTCAAAAAGGAATACAAGCCATCATCCGGGCCTGAAGTATAAGACCAGGCCCTTGATATGATCACATCTAGACAATCCCCTACATAGGTAAATGGAAGGTGCTTGGGATTTGAAGCCAGCAAAACTGGGTTCTGCTGTTGAACAATTTAAATCACTTCACATCTTATAACCTTAGGTTGCTACAGTGACAATTGGGACAATGAGTGCGACATTATGTGCAATGCTTGGGTTGCCCAGAGGTGCAGCAAATGACTTTCCAATGATGGAAGACTTTCTCCGCTAAACATCTTTTTTTGCCAGCCGAGTTCCTTGGCAAACGCAGACACACTCCTTGCGAGGGTATACCAGCCCCACAGGAAGCAGCCTCTGTCACCCAGGTTCGCCTTTCTGGCCTGGGCGAAGTCGGGATAGACTCGGTCCGCCTGCCTCCTGGGACGCGGTTTCTTTAGCCCTGCTAGGCGGGGATGGACCTGGGCGGGGCTGAACCTGACCGAGGCATGCGCGCAGCAGGGAAGGCGTAGCCCAGAAGCAGTGGCCTCGGCTCCAAAGCGGGCCGCGTAACGTGCCGACCCAGAAATCTCTTCCGGGGGTCCAGGTAAGGCGTCTCCACTTTCTTTTTCAGTTGTGGAGGAGGGACTTAGGGCTTAGGGACAGGTGTGCTGTGCATCCTGCAATCGGGACCTCTCTGCCCTACGTTTTCCTGCGGAGGCACAGAAATGAAAGAGCTGGGAACCGTCCTGCCCCTGAAATCCCCACCTCGGACAAAGGAATCGTTCCTCCTCCTCTTGGGAATTCCCGACTTTCTGCTTTCTAGCGGGCCTGCGATCTCCCACCTGCCTGCTCTCCTATTTTCCTGGTGGTTTGGGTTCCAGGAGGGAACTCATGGACCATTGCAAAAAAGCCTGGAGACTTTGACCTGCACAACACCACCTACACTTCACTGGGAAAAATGCCTCTCATGGCCCAAGAGCTCAAAGGAATGTATACAAGTGCTTTGAATACACCGCAGTGGTTGGCGGAAGATCTCTTATTCGTTTCTTTCATTTTGTAGGACATGAGGCTGGGAGTGGGGCAGTGCCTTGTTACCTGGATTTGTATGTAGCGCAATCAATCATTTTACTGCATTGCACCCAAGATGCTTTGTGTTTTTGAGCAAGTGTTTGTCCCTGAGCCGGAGACGTGCTATTGCTCTTTAGCGCCTGTGCCTTTTGTGCTTACTAAGGCTCTGTGTTCAACATAACTGCTTTTTTGACCGAATTGTCTCTATGAGAATGGAAACTTTTTGCAATGATTAAATGGATTTAATTTGCCTCCTTAGGACAATCGGTTCACTAAGAAAGTCTGATTCCCTGGCAGTAGAGCCAGGCTGGGAGTGGAGAGTTACAGAAACCTTCAGGGGAAGTCATTCCTTCCAATCTCTCATTCACTCATTCATTCAAGTGTGTACTACAAGCCTGCCTTGTGCAGGTCAAAGTGTTTGGTGAGGGGGATAAAGGTGAATTGAACCTGGGTTTTCCCTCAAGGAGCTTGACTGGCTGAGCGCAGGGCCATTCTCAGCATAAGTGACTTCTTAGCAGGTGAAAGGGGTGTGTCAGGAGTAGCTGGAGGCTGAGAAGATGAAGAGGAACAAGCTGCCAGGACAATAAACTGATGGTGATTTTGCTCACTAGATTCATGCTTTTTTGTGTGCTGGGAATCTGTGGGCAAAAATATGCTGGATGGGTCCAGCCATTCCTGGCCACCTCTCTTCTGCCCGCTCCACACACCTGCTCCTGCTCCAGAAAGTAGCACCAGCCTTCCCTCACCCACACCTCTTCTAAGATTTCAAGCTGAGACTGGGGAATGCTCATCTCTGATTCTTCCTGTTCTTCCCTCTCCACACCAAGACCCGTAGATTCTACCTCTTAAACCTGTTTCAAATCCCTCCACTTCCCTCCACCCTTATTGTCATTTATTCAGGCCCAGCGACCAGCGTCATCAGCTAAGCTCTTACTTAGTTTGCTGCAAGGGCCACCCTGTTTTCCTTCCCACCTTACTGTAATTCATTCTCCACTGTTGCAGCTGGGAAGCGCTTGTTGGAATTTATATGTGAAGGTGGGGCTCACTTCTTCCATCCTTCACTGCTTTGGCAAACAGGGCAGACTTTCTTTCCAGGGCTTGCCTGGGTACTCAGGTGCTGCCTTTCTCGCCAGCCCGCCTTCTTTTCACAGCTCCCTTGTACTTCTTTCAGTTGGACAACGTGCCAGGCTGTCTTATACTCTTAGGCCTTTGTGCATGTCTTCCCTTCTGCCTGGACCTGCCTTCCTTGCCACCCTCTTCACTTGTTTTCCTTTACAGGATCCAACTGTTTGGGCTTGGCATTCTTGCTTAGGTTTCCAAGCTGCTGCTGATTGCTTTAATTTCTTAAATAGTTTTGTATCTGAGAGGTAGAGTTAGAGAAAGAGAGATTGATTCTGTGTACTGCTGGTTTGCTCCTCAGATGGCTGCAAGAGCAAGGACTGGGCCAGTCTGAAACCAGGAGGCAGGAACCCCCTCTGGCTCTCCCACGTGGTTAGTTTAATTATTTGGGCATCATCCACTGCCTTTCCAGGTGCATTAGCAGACAACTGGATTAGAAGTGAAGCAGCCAGCTTCAGACCAGCTTACAAATAGGATGCTGACACTGCAGGTTGTGGCTTAATTGTGTCAGAATTCTGGTCCCAAAACGCCTCTCTTCTTAAGGCTGCACCACACTTTTGTCTTCTCTGCTACGCTGTTCTCAGCCCTGCAAGAGCAAGGCTGTGATACTGCCTAACACAAGGATAATGTTCAATAAATGATTGTTAGGTGAAAATAGCTATAAATATATATATGATACTTATAATATATGATTCACTTCTGAATGCCTGAGTCATAAATTTACCTTATCTTAGTTATTTTCTCCATGTTCTGAAAATACTTAAGGCTTTATAAACATAAAACTTAAAAATAAGGGTGGGAGAGAATAATAATATTGTTAAAGCAGCTACTATTTCCTGAATGCTCCCTATGTGTCAGGCTCTGTGCTGAGTGTTTTACAGTGTTAACTCTTAGTGTTCTAAGTATGAACTCATTTCCATCTCTCACTCAGCCCTGTGAGGTGGAGATGTTTGTTACCCACTTTGGAGGTAGAGCAGCTGATTTACAGAGAAGCTAAGGCACGCCCTAATTTTTCACAGCCAGTAAGCAGTGGCATCGGGTTTGAAGCCAGCTCCACTATGCCAGTAGTGGCGTAGGAACGCTTTGGAAGGAGAACCAGAAGAACTGAACATGAGATGCTTATAGTGCTGGAGAGGGGAAGTCAGCAGATGCAAGGCTACCAACTCTTAATACTCTTGAAGAGTGTGAGTTGCATTCATGTGTTTACTTTTTTTCTCTAGGTGGCTCTGGTTTCAGAGGTGACACTGGAGAGTGCTTAGGAGTGAGATTTCCCTGAGTCTGTGTGACCTTGAGGCATGCATGCCTTCTCCTTGCCTCTATTTCCTCATCTGGAAGTGGGGATGGCAATACTAGCACTTTCCTCACAGCATTGTGGTAATGATGAAATGAATGACATAGGTAATGTGTTAGAGTGGGGCCCAGCACCACATTGCCATTCTTATATTATTGCTATTTGTCTATCATTTAGTCAACAAATGATTTTTAAATGCAGGTCCTTTCTACAGATCACATTCCCCAATACTATTCTTGGGCTCAGGTGAACTCTCCTGCTGTAATTCTTCCTATGGACATTAATGGTTTTTCAGTGTTGTTTCCTTTTAGTGTCCTGCAACCCACCCCGCCAGGACCTTCCCTACAGTCTTTCCAGTTGATTCTCAGAGATGAGCTCAAAACATTTTCATTTGAGTCAATTTGTTGTCATTTTTTCTTCAAGGAATAAGAGACCTATTAACCTTAATGATGAATAGTGAGAATGTTAAACAAATTGTCCAAGCACTTTCACATATTATTCTGTAAATTATGAAAATATTTTCCATTGAGGAAATATGGATGTAAGAAATATATATGCAAGCACCACCAGGAGCTTTTAAAAAGCTGCATGGAACTTTAGAACTCATCCATTTCTGTTCCTTTTAGGAAGGCTAGAGGGAAGGAAGGTGTGGGCCCAGAATGGACAGCTGGCTGGTGACCAGAACCCCCATCCTGTAGCCAGTCCATTTCTTGTTTTTCTACTGTATGTTAGAGAATCGTGGGCTAAATCTCAGTGGGACTTGTCACCATGGATATGTTTTGAGTGCTGTTATGATGCACATTAGGGTGTGATTATGATTCAGTTAACTGGTGCCAAGGCCTCAACACATTCTTCAGTGATTTGCGATGGGAAAAGTGTGGGTATCTGCCACCACAGAGGATCTGTCTCACAATGAGGCTAGTGACTGAATAAATGTTGAAAGCAAAGCTTTGATTTCATCACCAAATGATTGTGATACTCCTTGGATGTTGTGTAGTATGGAAATGTTGGGAGGACAAAAGTAGCAAATGCAGAAAAATTAGGATTTGGAGTTGCAGCAAGGAGGGAAATTACAGGAACAAGAAACCCTGTGCTCCAGATCAGTTGGGTGATGCAGGCTGGGGGTTGGGAGGTTGGAAGGTAGTGAATGGAATAGAAGTCAGGATCCTGAAGGAGGTGGGATGGTTGGAGTTTTATGGGTGGAGGAGGAAGAGGAGGTCAGGTGTGAAAGAGAGAAGGGAAGAAAAACCAGCCAGCGCAATGGCAGCCTACATAGACGGGCAAAGGAAAATCATCCCGAAGTGCCCCTTACTGTTTCTGAGAGTGACAGGGAAGGGAGGATGGGGTGGTTGAGTATTGGGCAAGGGGTAGAGCAAACCTTCCTTTCTCTAATAGACTGGAGAGATAAATGTTTAGTTTTTTTAAAAAATGATTTATTTATTATTTTTATTGGAAAGGCAGATATACAGAGAGGAGGAAAGGCAGAGAGGAAGATCTTCCACCCGATGGTTCACTCCCCAGGTGATCCCAACGGCTGGAGCTGAGCCAATCCGAAGCCAGGAGCTCTTCCAGGTCTCCCACATGGGTGCAGGATCCCAAGACTTTGGGCCATCCTTGACTGCTTTCCCAGGCCACAAGCAGGGAGCTAGATGGGTTCTTGGGCCGCCAGGATTAGAACTGGCAACCATATGGGATCCTGGTGTGTGTAAGGTGAGGAACTTAACCATTATGCTATCGTGCTGGGCCCAAGAAATTAGTGTTTGTAATTCACTTTTGCATGCAGCAAAGTCTTTTTATTTTGTTTTGTTTTTCCCTTCTCCCTTACTTTAGACTTCTCCCTTACCAATGGACCTGGTTGGTTTTGGTTATGCAGCTCTTGTGACAATTGGAAGTATTTTGGGATACAAGCGGAGAGGTAAGCCTGAACTTAGTTTTGCATCCCAGGGACTTAGTGGGGCATCGGTGGTTGTGCTGGGATTGCCTGAGGACCTATACACCAACAAGGTAAAGATACCCTTGCTGAGGCTGAGGTCCAGATTCACGGAGGGAAGGGCTAAGCCTGGCAGAGACCTCTGAACAAAAACTCTGTCACAAACTCTGAACAAAAACCTCTGTCACAAAACTCTATAATTTCACCTCTTGTTACCAATTGCATAGATTTAACCCCCTCCTGGGGACTTCTCACTTACTGTTAAATAAGGATTATTTCATTTACATCATCATGTAGGAAAACTGAGTAATACTGATGTTGTGTGTTGCTCAGGAAAACTTGTTAAATATTTAGATAGTATATTCCCAAATTGTCTGTTGACCCATACACAATAGAGAGGGAAAACCCAATTGATTAATTATTTTTATGGAGGAAAATGAACTGTCAAGGTTTATATTTTGCTTTGTTTTAAGATGGAAGTACTTATGATCATGATGTCTCATAGGTTATAAAGAAATTTATAAGAATGAATTTGTGTTGTGAAGTGTTATATTTGTGATATTGATGCATTTGAGTTTGAGTGAAAAAACCTTCTTATAAAGTATAGTGTCATTCTTCATGTGGGATGACTTTTCCCAAGAGCCTTCATTGTTCTTGTACATACAGGCTGTGGGCAGCATGCCCTTGGCCCTGCTGCTTGTTGGCTGATGTCATCCAGACTCGGGGTCACACATTCACACACTTTCTCCCCATTCTGTATACTTGTGTGTGTATGTGTGTACTGGTGTGTGTGTGGTGTGAGAAAGGGCCTCTGAGTGGCACAGCAGTCTTCAGAGGATACAGAAAAGCAGATCATGGAGTCTCTTAGGTAAGAAGACACCTTAATGGTGACCTAGTTCTGCATTTCAGAAGATGTTTGGTTCCCGCCAACTACCAGGGATATTAATAAGTTCATGGAAGACCAAAGATAGATTCCTGGTGAAACTGTTGAATGCATCCTGACAGTAGGACTCTCTAACAATGTCCATGCCTACAATGTCGGGAAACATGGCAATAGCGGAATGATGGACTTATGTCTGTTCATGAGGGACTACCCATTGAAATACTAGAGGGGGTGGAGGGAAGGGAACTTGGGGAGGGGGATGGGAAAAATTCCAAGGCCTATGAGACTGTGATAATAAAATTAAAAAGAAAAGTTTATGGAAAATTCATATGATAAAAATTATGCATGGTTTAAAAAATCTTTTTGCTCCAAAATAAACTTTTTACTTAATTCTGTTTTTCCATGAACTGTTTTTGGAGGCATTTAATAAAATCCAATGTACTTTTACATTCTAACTATTTGGTTTATTTTATTTGAAAGAAAGAGATTTTTCCACCTGATGATTCACTCCCCAAAGGCCACAATTGCCTTTTGAAATCCAGGTCTCAATCCAAGTTTCCCACAATGGTGGCAGGGACCAATGTATTTGAGCTGTTGTTTACTGCCTCCTGGGGTGTACATTAGCAGGAAGTTGTATTAAACCTAGAGGAACCAGGAGTTGAATGATGAACCACACATTTTCTTGTAGGATGTAGGCATCCCAAGTGGTGTCTCAACTGCTCCAACAAGCGTTCTCCCTTCGTTAACTTTTTGAAGTACTCTCGCTTATCCTAGTTTGACCTCTTCTGTTTGACCATGGCCATAATGGAGTGTCCAGGCAGGCATTTGATGAGTGTTTATCAGGAGCTCATTATGCTCCTGGTCTGAATCATGTCCTGGGAAGACAACAGTGAGCAGTAAGACAGGGAATAAGGAGGGGAGGCTGACATTAAATAGGCAAACATATGGATAAATAATCGTGAGTGATGGGGACCAAAAGGAGATGCCTCTTCTTGTGAATGGTTGATTAGAGAAGTTATGTTTGAGGAACTTAAACTTCAGACACCCAGACACCTGAACCAAGCAGAGCAGTCCATGTGAAGGAAAGTCAACCTGAGAGTTATGCAATGTGGTATTTCCATATCTTGCCATGATCAGGGAACTGAAAGAGGCCAGGACACCCCAAATATAGCTACTTCAGCAGGAAGTGTTCAAGATACTTAATTAGGGAAAAGACTTTTCTAGATGTGATTTTTAACATTTATTTATTTATTTATTTGAAAGGCAGAGTGACAGAGAGAGGAGAAGGAGAGGTCTTCCTTCTTCTGGTTTACCCTCCACAGGTGGCTGTCAACACCTGTGGGTGGGTGAGGCTGAAGCCAGGAACCTGGAGCTTCCCCTGGGTCTCCTATGTGGGTGGCGGGAACTCAAGTACTTGGGGCATCATAGGCTACTTCCTAGGTGTATCAGCAAGAAGTCTGATCAGAAACTGAGTAGGCTGATTTAAAAATAAACTACTAATACTAAGAGAACAGATTTTATGCTTTCTGTAGGTACAGTACCAAGAGGATAACCATGCTTCCCTCACTCACCTGCTCATCCCAGAAACCCTCTCCCTCCCCTCACTTCATCAGCTTTTGCAAAGAAGTAATTTTAGTCCACTCTATATTGACAAGATTAATTCACTGTTAATCATAATGAAATATAGAAAGACCACAATTCCACAAGAATATGGGCTAAGAATGATAATCATATCCCGAAGTGCACACGTTATTCTTGTTATTTTTTGGTATATATTAGCAGCCACATATCAGAGTAACATATAGTATTTGTCTTTTTTTTTGAGATTGGTTTATTTCATTAACCATAATGGCTTCCAGTTGCATTTGTTTTGTTGCAAAAGATAACTAGATGACAGTAAAATGACAATATTCCTTTTTATGGCTGAATAGTATTCCATAGTGTTCCATAGTGTTCTATTGTATTCCATAGTGTTCCATATACATCACATTCTCTTTACTCAGTCATCAGTTTGTGAACATCTTGGTTGATTCCATATCTTACGTATTGTGACAAACTATAATAAACCTGGGGATACAAATAAGTTCCCAGGAATGGGATGGCTGGGTCATATGGTAGATCTATTTTCAAATCTCTTCGGCATCTCCACTCTGTTTTCCATAGTGGTTGTGTTAGTTTACATTTCCAACAACAGTGAGTTAGGTGGGTAGCTAGATTTGAATCGGTGCTTTGATGTGGGGTGCAGGTGTCATAAGCAGTGACTCCATTCACTGCGCCTCAGATGGCATTTATGAAATGCTACCCTACTGCATTTGAGTAGATTTAGGAGGAAAAAATGAAGACTATTATATCATCTCTATCTGTAGCATTCTAAGCCTTTCTTACGTATTTGACATGGATGATGTTAGCCCTGTTTCACAACTGACAGCGGTTAAGAGGTTTAGCCAAAGTCATCAGTCACCAAGGGAAAGAATTAGGACTAAAACTTAATGTGTTTGACTTCTCTTTCAGGACACGGCTGTTGCTGCTGTGGTGTGTGTGCGCATGTGTGCGTGTGTATGCTCGTATGTGCTGCATTTTGGTTAACCCTAGCTCTGTGTCAGAATTTCCTAGAGATATTGTAAGTAGGGGCACTTTGCCCATACCTCCAGGAATTCTAATCCAGTGTATCCACAAAAGCGCTGTGAGGCGAGGAGTGTCAGTCTTGTTCACATGTCACCAGCAAACCGCACACTGTCCAGCGTGCAGGACATGCTAGGTGTGTGTCACAGCGCCCTCAGGTGGACGGATGTGGCAGAAGCTGGCTGGTTGGACTGGCGTGCTCGTCCTTTTCCTTTCTCCATATCATGTTCGTTAGTTCTTGAGTCCTGACCTCTCGAGGCTTGAAGATCCATTAATTATCTAGGACAAAACATTGGTTGGTTTTCACAGTACTTCTCTGTTTACCCCAGAGAGCTAAAAATACCTCTGCAAATTATTGTTCATGATCACAGCCTCACAGGAAAAAGACCAAGCCAAGGAGAATGGGAAAAACAACAGCAGCAGAAAGCAAAAAGAGAAACATAGGAAAGTCAATATTCCTCAAGATCGTGCTTATCTGTGTCCAATCTGCTACCACAGGCCTGCTTTCTTTTTCCGCCAAGTGATATTGAACCCCTCCTTGCTGTGCTTTCGGGGATCCTCTGCCTGAACAGTGCTTCTTGTGAAACATCCTTGAACAGGTCTGCTATTTAATTTAGCTCTGACCCAAAAGAAACGCTGAAGGCTACACTTTGTCCTTGGTGTTTGGCATGAATTCCTTTCTTGGGGGATTCTCTTTGTGAGCCTGTGTCAATCTTTCTCCCCGCCAGGTGGTGCTCCGTCTTTGATTGCTGGCCTTTTTGTTGGAATTTTGGCTGGCTATGGTGCTTACCGTGTCTCCAATGACAAACGAGATGTGAAAGTGTCGCTATGTAAGTAAGACATTTTTCCCAGTTACACAGAAATGAATATCGGGGAGGGATGTGGATTTTTGGATGCCCTATCCTCTATGATTTCTAGAAAATGAGCTGTCATATGGCAAAGTGGCCTTGTGGGTACGTTGAGACTGAATACAACTCTTGATCCTTTCTAGACACACTTGATAAAAAAAAAATGTAATGGGCCTGGCATGGTGGCCTATTGGCTAAAGTGCTTGCCTTGCATGTGCTGGGATCCCATAAGGGTGCCGGTTCGTGTCCTGGCTGCCCCACTTCTCATCCAGCTCCTGCTTGGGGCCTGGAAAAGCAGTCAAGGACAACTGAAATCCTTGGGACCCTGTACTTGTGTGAGAGGGCTGGAAGGGGCTCCTGGCTTCGGATCAGCACAGCTCCAGCTGTTGCAGCCACTGTGGGAGTGAACCAGCAGATGGAAGATCTTTCTGTCCTTCTCTCTGTAGGTATGACTTTCCAATAAAATTAATAAATATTTTTTTAAAAATTGCATTACTGGCAGGTCTTCAACTCTGTTAAACTTGTTACTGGAAAATTGGTTAGGTTAAATTAGAAAAAGCAAGAAATTAGTTGCATATTCGCCACAAATTCTCTTAAATACCTATTTAGCATATTTAAAAAATTATTTATGTAATGTGAACCGATTTCATGTACTTCACAATACAGATTTAGGAACATAGTGATACTTCTCTACCCTCCCTACCCTCCTCACCACCGTGCGTGTTCTTCACCCTCACTTCTTTATTTTCTCTTCTATTCTTCCTTCATTCCTTCATTCCTTCATTTCTTTCTTTCTCTCTCTCTCTCTCCCTCCCTTCCCCCTCCCTTCCTCCTTCCCTTCCTTCCTTTCTTTCTTTTAAATTTACAGTGGCATACTTTCAGTTCACTTCACAATCACAGCATTAGCACTCCATTAGGTAAAGAATTCAATAGCAAGTGGAATGGAAACCCACTGTTTTCTCATGCATATAGACAAAAAAATTGTAAATAATAATTGAGTCTCAAAATGTCAATCTTGGTCATGAACACTACCTTTTTTCAAACTCTGTGTATTAGTTACCACAGATCAGGAAAAAACATACAATATTGTCTTGCTGGGACTGACTTATTTCACTAATCAGAATGGTTTCCAGTTGCATCCATTTTACTAGCAAAAAAAAAAAAGAATGTTGTTCTTTTTATGGCTGAAGAGTATTCCACAATGTATATACACCACATTTTCTTTATCCAGTCAGTTGGTGGACATCTTGGTTAATTCCATATCTTAACTATTGTGAATTGAGTTGTTATGAAGCATGGGAGTATAGACAATTTTATATGCTGGTTTCATTTCTTCTGCATAAATTCCCAAGAGTGGGAATGCTGAGTCACATGGCAGATCTATTTTCACATCTCTTAGGCATCTCCACTCTGTCTTCCATAATGGTTGTACTAGTTACATTCCCAAAAACCGTGGATTAGGGTACCTTTTTCCCCCACATTCTTGTCAGCATGTATTACTTCTGATTTCTGTATGGCTATATAGCATATTTTTCATGTTGCTGTAAAAAAACCTAAGATGAGTTGGCCTTACATTATTTCATTTGGTTCATAAATGGCTTTTAGATTATTTTCTGCCTTAAGAATTAGTCTAGAAAAGCAAGGCTGATTTTTTTTAAAAATGCTTGTCTTCATTGGCCTTGGTTGCAGTCCCTTACCTATTTGACTTGCTGTTGTCTGACTTCAAAGAGAAATGCATATTATTACGTTCTTAAAACTGTTGAACTACATGACATCTTTTCCCTTAATATGAATAGATAAAAAAGAAGCATGGAACAAAAATAAACCCAAAAATAAAAAAAGGAAAGAGAAATAATGTGGAGATTTGGGAAGACTCACCATGATGATTGTCCCTATTTGGTTACTTGTTATTCGAAGTTCCATGGTGGTATGTGGAGGAAAATATGAAGACAAAATTGTATCAGTTTTGTATTTGAGGGACAGAAAGAGATCTGGTGGCTCTTTTATTTACTTATTTTAAATAAGGACAAGGGATATTTTTAGTGATAATGCTAGATTATGTTAGGAGATGCAAGTATATCAAAAATTGGGATTTTATTCATAAGCATGTAAGTGATCTACATACATTTGTTGCAATTTTATGCAAATGAACAATTTTTGTTTAAAATGTGTTATGAAATCGTGACATTGAGGCTCTCATCTCTTATGTGAACCCACCTCTGTCTTCGCACTGGGCCAGCCCCTAATGTACTATTGTGACACTTCTGAATATTATTATCATTTCAGAGTATTATTTAGTTCCCAGGCTTCCTATTCCCCAGAAGGGAATGCTACAAAGAAAAAAAAAAGCCGTCTTTTTGGATTACTGTATTCATCAGTTTCATTAGTTTTTACTTTTTATATACTGGTTATATTCCTTATGTTAAGTTAAAACTAAACATTTATTGTCTGTAGTGGCTCCAAGTATACATCCTAATGTTTTCTGGGAAAACTGAATATATGTAGTTCTAGCCTTTAAGGAGTGTTCATGAATATACATTTAACTTAGCAAGGAGAGTGCAATTTAATGTGTTTGCTTACTCAGAATCCTTTTGATGAGCTGGTTCGCCATTTTAAGAGAATAATCTATGTTTTCAAGGAAAGAATAATTTAGTACATATCTGCAATCATCGTAGATTGAAAGCTTTGAAATGTTATCCACATGCAGATGTTTGAGAATGTGTTTGAACTCTGTTTCATGGGCTGGTGTGGTTTCTAGTTACAGCTTTCTTCCTGGCCACTATCATGGGTGTGAGATTTAAGAGAACCAAGAAAATAATGCCTGCTGGGCTGCTGGCAGGTTTAAGGTATGAAAAACTATTTTGGTGTACACCTTGCTTTGTCATTTTTTTTTTAAAGTGATGGGTTTTTGGCAGAAATTTGTTTTTATTTGAAAGGTCCAAGTAATTTTTATTACAACAAGCATGAGTGTAAAGACCTGAAGATGAATTTGGTCAATGTTTGGCACTGGTAAGCACATGAACATTCTTATTAGATGCTCTTATTGTTGTTGCAGTATCTGCTCACAAGGACATACCTGCCTTTCTGGAATAAAGAACTAAATTTTGCCTCTTTTTTTTTTTTCTTGAGATTTACTCACCTGAGGTAGTAAATATGTTCATTTAAATCTAAGAGAATAGGACAGAACGACAGTCACATGCAGTTCTTTTGAAGATTTATTGAAGATTTATTTATTTTTGTTTGAAAGGCATATTTGTAGAAAGAAGGAGAGACAGAAAACTCTTCATCTGTTAGTTCCCTGCCCAAATGGCCACAGTGGCTGGAGCTGAGGCAATCCTGATCCAAAGCCAGGAGCCAGGAACTTCCTGTGGGTCTCCATGTGGCTGCAGAGGTCCAAGGACTAGGACCATTCTCCACTGCTTTCCCAGGCTATGGGCAGGAAGTTTGATTAGAAGTGGAGCTGCTAGGACACAAAATAGCACCTCTATGGGATACCAATGCCAGAGGCAGAGTATTAGCGTGCTAAGCCACTGTGCTATCCCCAGTTATTTTGAAATTTTAAAGAAGAGAAATGTACATTGTTATGCTTTCAAATTTTAATTTTTTAATTTGGGAGATGGAGGAGTGGGGAGAGAAAGGTAATAGATACACATGTACTTAGAACTCCCATCCATTGGTTCACTTCCCAAGTGCTTGTAGTGGCTGGGAAGAGGCTAAGATGAAGCTGGGACTGGGCAACTAAGTTCAGGTCTCCTAAGCAGGCGGTCGGATGTCATCACCTGTTGCCTCCTAGGGTGTGTATGAGCAGGAACATGTAACTGAGGGAGAAAGACTGGGACTCAAAGCTGGGTATTCTGGCATGGAATTGGTGTCCCAGTCAACTCGGCCAAATGCCTGCCCTGAAGCAATCCAATATTTTATAATTTCATCTGATCCAGTAATTTATATGTGGGATTGAGCATGTTACCAAATGAAAAGGGAGAGAACACATGTTTAAATCCTCCTAGAAGCTGTCTTTGTTTTGAAAGCTGTGTTTTACTTTTTGGAATTTATTCCAAAGAAGTGAGATTTACACAATGACTGATGTGCAATGCAACCGGAAAATGAGGAACCACCTAGAAGTTCATTAGTAAAGAAATAGTTGGATAAATGTTTTGTTCATACTTTCAAAAACTACTGTGTGTCATAACAAGTTACAAAAACAGAATCAAAGACAATAAAAAAGTGATCCCAACTGAAAATGTTTCTTTGTAAAAATAAGAAGGAAATACTTTAAAGGGAAGTAATGTTTCTCTGCAGGTGGTAGTGTAGTGAACTGATTGGAGAGTTCTTTTTACTTTTCTGAGGAATTTTCTATGTGTTAAATTGCTCAGCACACCTGTGTTCACCAAGGGAAGCTTTCCAGATACAGCCGCATGCTAAATGTGGTCGCTGTTGATGGCAGGAGACAGGGGTGGGGTTAGAGACCAGGGGGACAAGATCTTCTGTCGGTAGCAAGTGGCTAAGGATGTAATAACTGCCCTGAAAGTGCTCTATGGCCATTTTGTTATGTTGCTTTGCTTTTCCAGCTTTTGAAAAGTCAGTGTTTCTTTCCAAACTTTTTCCTCATAAATACGTGTTTTTTTTTTTCTTCATAAAAAGCTGTGGGTTTGCCCAACAGCAAGTTCTGATTTTTCTCATTTGTTCCATGCACCTTGTAAAGGGGCTAATGCAGTTAGCATGTGGGGATGGTGAGTCCTGTGCCACCCACCCCTTTTGGGGTAGAGCTGTGAGGAGGCCAAGGAGGCCAGGCTGGGACCCCAGAGGTGAGGAGGGCCTTTGCCACCCTCCTTCCTGGTGTGGCCAGATGACAGTCACCCTCCTTTGTGCTTTTCTTTTATTCCAGCCTCGCGATGATCCTGAGACTCATCTTGTTGCTGCTGTGAGCACCCTGAGGAGCTGAAAATTAAATTCGTGTCCTTCTACTGCAAGGAGCAGAATGTATTCTTTGTATATATGTAAATTTCAGCATGTTAAGTGTTATTTTATATCAGCAGCAGAAGTAGCACCTCTAAAATAGACATCAGTTTGAGGTGGTGTTTTTTTTTTTTTTCAGCAAGCTGTTTTGTAATTACCAGGCACTATTTTCATTAAAGGTATTTAATGCACGCGGATGTGTTTCTTCATTTGTTGTGTCTATATTTATGTTTTTTTTACAACTCCAAATACTTATGACCCAAATAAATTTGCTTGAAACCTTGATTTATCAGATAAAGGAATTTCTTAAGTGGGTTTCATAGAAAACGAAGGTGTCCAGCATTTGTGTTGTTCTAGATATGATTAGAACTTACATTTTTCTGTTTAAGAAAAATAATTTTAAGAAAATTCATTTCTCAGCATATTCTGTGTTCTAGCAGAACATTTTCAGTATTCGAATAAAAGATATTTCGTGTTAAATCTATTTCTTGTGGTTTGGCACCATGAGTTAACAGACTAATCTTCATGTGGCACCAGCATCCATATGGGCATTGTGTTCATGTCTTGGCTGCCCTGTTTCCCCTCCAGCTATTGGGACCCTGCACCTGTTGGGGAGACCTGGAAGAAGCTCCTGGCTCCCAGGTTTGATCTGCTCAGCCATTTGGGGAATGAACCACCTTTTCTCTGTAAATATGCCTTTCAAATAAAAATAGATAAATCTTTTGTTTTTTAAAGCAAAAACCTGCTTCTTAAGTGTTGATGTCTTCTCTGTGTGCTCAGATTGTCTTTGACATTCGGATGGTTGAGTTCCTGAGGGGAGGGGTAGGAAGGAGGGATGCTTTAGATCAACAGTAGCAGTAATTCTGAAACAAAGACTATTTCATCTCAAATCACTACTTCGTTTTCAGTGATAACTATAGCGATATCAGGGCACTTTAAGGGCCCATAATGAATGTGCAAGGACCTGAATCCAGCCCTGTCATCTGTACTGGTTCATATGACTTTTGGAAGTTCATTTCTTCTCCATGGTGATGCAGAAGACCCCTTGGGCCCGCCATAGTCTGTAATTTGGATCCTGTCGGTTCTGCACAATGGCATCAGCCTTCTAACCCCTTCTTTGAGAGAAATGGCGTGTGGAGCCCTCAATAGGTACGTTCAGGGGTTGTGTTCCACTGGTACTTTTCCCAGTTGACCTTCAAAAAGGTTAAACTTCTGGTGATAGCCAATTCGATGAAGAGAGGGGAAACAAACTACTAGTGGAACTAAATAGTAAACCCAGACAGAACTCTTGGATTTCTTTAAAAATGTTACTTTTAAAAAAGAAGAGAACACATTGATCTTAATGGTACCTATAAGGTTTTGTCACTGCAAGCAAACCTGGACACTTGTCATCATGGGGGTGCCTGCTGAGAAGAGCCTTCGGGTTCAGACTGATAACAGTCTCTAAATTTAAATTTTTGAAGCTACTAGCTACTAGCTCTTTACTTTTTTTCAAAAGGTGGTACAAATAGGTGCTGGTGATAATTGTGATTATTATTTTTTTTTTTTTGCTTGTTTTTCTAAAGAAGTTCTTGCTACCTGTTTGTTTACGTAAGACTTGACTCTTCCACGTTGGTTGAACACAGAAAATTCTTATTTGGGTGGCTCTGATTAATTTATTTCTACAGTCTTAGGAAAAAATTCAGGGGCTCTCTGACTTGCACCCGATATGAGATAACCCATTTCCTTATGCTCTCATCTCTTTGTTTTCATTGCTTTGTTAACATGTCCGTTGGACAGTTGTCTGAGCCTTGATACAAATGCAGAGTTACCTATAGCTCTTCATTTGTTAATATTCAGCTACAATGGTGCTTCTGTTTTTAAGAAATATGCCTTGTTCAGCTGAATATGTTCTTTATAGTCTGAACAGATTCTTCATCCAGGGGGGCTTCCTCTAGCTTCCAGGCTGGAGAAATTTTTTAGTTGTGAGGATGTGGCTGACTCTGGTCTTGAATTCCTAAAATGCAAAAGAACAGTATCCATAAGAAGAGAATATAGCAACATGAACAAATTAAGAAACAAATGAAGAAAACTGTCTTCTTGTCCATGAAGAAAACCGATCTAAATTTTATATCTCCAGGCTCGGTGCGGTAGCCTAATGGCTACAGTATTTGCCTTGCATGTGCTGGGATCCTATAAGGGTGCTGGTTCATGTCCCAGCTGCTCCGCTTTCCTTCTAGCTCCCTGCCTGTGGCCTGGGAAAGCAGGTGAAGACATCCCAAAACCTTGGGACCCTGCACCCGCGTGGGAGACTTGGAAGAAGCTACCGCCTCTTGGCTTTGGATTGGCTCAGCTCTGGCCAATTCGGCTAATGACCTCTTAGGGAATGAGCCAGCAGATGGAAGATCTTTCTCTGTCTCCTCTCTGTAGATTTGCCTTTCCAATAATAAGAAATAAATCTTCAAAAACTTTATAACTCCAACTGCTGGGGGGACAGTGGATTTTTTTATGTTGCAGAGAATTACAAAGTGATATTGCAAGTTAGCAATACTTCTGAAGAATCACAAAAATGTTCCTAGGCTGTGGCCAGGTGATCCCATTTAAAATTTACATACTAACAATGTAATCTCATATATGGGCCAAATCATATTAATAAAGTTTATTTCACAACATTATTTATAAAAACAAACTGCAGAGCATCTTGGTGTACAATAAAAACGAGTCTTCATAATTTTATACTGTCACCTTGGCTCCATCCTGGCCCAGCCCCAACTTGTGGGCATTTGGGAAGTGAGCCCACAGACACCTCTCTCTCTCTTTCTCTACCTTACAAATAAATCAACGAAAGTATTTTTAAATAGCAAGAGTCAAGAATTTAAAGTGAGATCAGTGTTATGGTGCAAGGGTTAAGCCACTACCTGTAGCACCAAGTCTAGAATGCTCTACTTCTGATCCAGCCCCCTGCTAATATGCTATAATCTTCCATGCTTCATAAAAATTTCCCTTTCTCTCATTCTCATCAAAGAAAAGAAAAAGCATCAAACTGACATAACATCAAGTTCTTTTCCAAGCCTTCAGCTGAGGCTTGGGATGCACAGCAAGGTTAAGTGACTGTCCTCAAGTGTCTCAGTTACTGGCTGAAAGGGTCAGGGCTGGGATCGCTCATCTCCGAGAGTACAACATGGGAGATGTTCTCATCCTGGCCTGACTGTTTCAGGAAGAAGCCATATTCTAAAATTGGAACTTAATAGAACACTGAGGATAAGCCAAGCATGAAATGAAAGCATTCTAGGGGACACTTTCACCATCCCCAGATTAAACATTATTTCTGACTTCCATGAGATGTAATGAAGAAAGCGTATGTTTGGGATAGCAATTTCTCTCATCAGAAACTCTAGAGCAACTTTCATTACCTGGTTTGGCCAGGCTCCAACAGTCCCAAGAGCAAAACTCAGCTCCAGATTCCAATTGGGTCAGTACCAGGCTGAGACCTGAGGGTCGCGTGGGAAGAGAGCGTGAAGGCAAAAGGAGTCCGTGGGTGGGGGGTGCGATGGGGAGGCATGCAGCACGTGGGTCGGCCCAATGCTACTCACAGTTCTGGATGTGAATACCAGCCCAGCATCTACCCAGACTAGTTGCTACTCCAAGAGTTTTCTCCTTGTGTTACACTGAGTTTCACTACAGCCCACTGAAAGGTTTCTTATCAGAAGTCTCAAAAAAGGAAAACGATGTGCTTTTTCAATTTTATCTCTGGTTTAAAGGCTCATGGTGTGAGGGCTGTGTTAGATGCTGCAGGGGCACCAAAGATGAGCAAAGAACAGCTGTTATGGTGACATTGTGTATCTAGAGCGGAACTCTTGAATTTGTGAAAGTTCACTGTGACTTACATCCCTAGGGTGTAGAAGGCAGGAGCTGGCTATGCAGTCTTTAGCAGCTAGCTATGGGGCTACTGACTGAGCTGAGTTTATAAACTGAGGAACTGAAAGCTCTGAGAAGGGGACTTAGTGTGTTTGGAGAGGAGAATCACCTTTCCTGGTGAAAATTGGGCTATTGGTGGAAGAAGTCATGTTCAAGTACTTTTTAAAACTATGCTTAAAAAAAACATTTTTTTAGGCTAACCCCAAGAAATCTTTCGTCCATCTCATTTTTTTAAAAAAAACATTTATCCATCTGTCTTGTATCCGTCCTAACATGGATAGAGCTCCAAAGTATAATATTGATTGCAAAGAGGAAGTCTATGACACATATGAGTCAAAGGTTGGTCAGTACAGAAGTGAATGCAAAAGTACAAAAGCTAAACTGCGTGGTTAGAGGTTACTCAAGCACAGAAGGACGTGAGGAGCCAATTGAATTTTAGCTTTATCAAATGTTGATGTTTATTTTTAACAGAAAATTATGTGATTATATCACCTGCTCTTTTTTTTTTAAAGAAAGAGCTATTAAAATCAACTATTAAAATTGCTCATTCCAAGTAGGAGCACATTTACTATAATATTCTTTGTGTTTTATATGTTTTCAAAAATTTAATTTAAGGCATGGAAAATAAGGAATTTGTAGAGAAAATGGTGAACTTTTTATAAAGATTGTGTTTTATTATAACACTACCACAGCATATAAAATTATATGTTTAACAAAATATCTAGGCCTAATCCATGTTCCAGTCATAGAAAGTGTCTTTTCTCGCGACCTGATGAACATGCCATTTCCTGACAGGGTTTCAGAGAGCGTAGAGTATACTCAGTAGCATCAAGTCCCCAGGATGACCGTAGAGTTGGTTTTAGGTCTGTAGAAACTCCAACTTCCTTCATCTTTGGAGTTGAAGGACCATGTAAGATTGACTAAGAAACTATTTTTTTGTATGGGTCACAAAAAAGGCCAATGGCTTTGTATCCACAATTGGTGTGTATACAGACTCAGTTTTTGGATAAGTTTTTATAAGCATCAAGTACAGCATTTAAACATGTCAAGAACATCCTTTTTTTTTTGATAATACGAAAGTTCATTGGATGCATAGGACAGCTACATTTGTAGTAGTAAATGATAAACACTATGAGTCTACTTTAAAAATTCATTGGAATGGGATTAAAAGATAAGTTGATTTTGCTGCAAAATATTTTGAAGTCTATGCATAGGGTCTTCAAAAAGCACATGAAAAAGCTACTCATAGATTTCAAATTGATTTTGAATCTTTATTTTTCCAAGAACTTCTA